CACCAAAACTTTAGGGAATAAAGTTGCTGAGTCACCCAGCGCTAATGCAAGAGAGAAAACCCTTGCTTCCAGATTGGTACAGCAAGGACTCCTCACTGCAGACATGCTGAGACAGCTAGAGAAAGAGTGGATGACACAACGAACTGAGCATGGCAAAGAAAGAACAGAATCTCAGACTTATTTAAAAGGAGCAAGAAGAAAGAAGAAGGAACCGGAATCAGATTAATTTTGTTTTTATTTTTGCAAATAAAAATCTGTTTTAAAATCCTTTTTCCTCATACACATTTATTGTCTACTATAGTGTTGTGGCTATCTCTTACTGATTTTCTTTACCCTAGAAAAATCAACCCTTAAAAATGACTAAACTCTTCAACATTTAAAAAATGCAGGGTGTCAAGGTTTCTTTTTTTTTTTTTAATGTAATGACCATTTCTGGATGGCACTAAGACAACGGACTGTAAGGATTTCTTCATGGGAATGCAATCAGTTTAGTGAATTGTTTGATCCTTTCCCCACACTATTGCTGACAATACCATGGATGGAGTTTTTGACAAGCATTGCTGTCTATTATACCCATGTACCAGAGGCTACTATAGGTGCTGGGATTATGTAGTAAGCAAAACAGGTGATGTTCCTGCCTCAGAGAGATTATTGTTTGCTATGGAGGCAAGAACAAGTTAACAAATAGTGAGGGTCGGGATTATTAACCTACTTCATTGCTATCTTTAGTGGGATATAGTGGAAACAGTCTTTGAAATGAATGGATATAATTTCAGAGGTAAATACTAGAAGTTGAACAAAGGAAGAGAGCGACTAGTGGTAGCAGTGGACTATTGTAGATAGTGTGCACTTCACATGTCCAAAGACCACCTAATGCATAGTGGTCTCTATTTGTCTGGCTTAGCTTTTAGCCCTGGGTAGAAACACAGCTAAAAGCTTAAGAGCATAGCCTTTGGTGGTAAACAGATCTGGATTTGGCTCTCACCCCTATCACCTCAGCTGTCCTTGCCCTCTTTGGAGCTTGGCCACTACACCTAAAGAAGGTAGACAGTGATGCATACTTAGAGTTGTGTAGAGGTTGAATTTATGTATCATTTAGCTTAAGAGGTATTTTTAGAAAATGTCTTGTAAATGAACCTGAAGGTTTGGGTTCATCTCGTGCTATGAATTGAATGCTTAGGTAATTCTGAGCACTGTACTAATTTCTTGAGCAACTGCCAAGTTGAGGCTGATTTCAGACTAAGGATAAATCTGATTTGGTTGAAATTGGGTCGAAGAACAGCCAGATTTACCAGGCTAGTAATCTCTGCCTTCAGTAGTTCAGAGTTCAGAAGATACTTAATTGAGATGGCAATCTTTATTCTTCTAACCTTTGCCTTCATGGAATTAAGAAGGAACAGGTGGCACTGACTTGATTATTCTTTCTTATGGGTGAAGTAGTGAAATACTTGGAAGGTATTAAAAAAATACATATTTTGCATTTAGACATCTTGCTTTCAGAATTTGCTTTTTCTGTAACTTAAACCACAACATAGTCCAGTTCTTGCTCAGATGGGCTCAAGAAGTATTCATGGAGTGAACTTGATAGAGGATTTTGTCTTAGTGTGTAAATGATGAGGTATATCACCTAGAGGGTTGTTAATTGTCTCACTTTCTCCAGTTTGGGGGTCGGTGTTGATAAGTCAAAAGACAGGCAAGACACTTGTAGGTATAGACAAGGCCAAATGAACATTGAGCTAAAGAATATTTTGAATAATGAGTTTACTCTTTGACCTTTCTCATCTTTGTTGGGGAGGGAGAGCTCTGGTTAGGCAGAGGTGATGATACTAGATGAAATGAGGGAAAAATATATTGGCCCCAAAGAATTCTCTGCAGTGTCCTTAAAATTGTCACCATGGAAGCAGCCTGGTTTTCCTTTTCTGTAATAAGCTTGATAATATCACTTGTCTTTCATTGTAGGCATTTAGACAGTTAATTTTCAAAACACTATTCTTTTTTAAAATTTCCAGTTTTCTAGCAGGTTTCTAAGAATTTATCTGAAAATCTTCCATGGATTATTGTGGACTCAGCATGGGGCACGGACTGAAGCTTGGATGCTGACCTTAATTCCATCAGTATGGGTCTGGGTAATTTAATAAAATGTAGTAAATACTGTTTAAGAATAATAACCAAGAACATGCAATGCTTTGTACATTGTATTTGTGGATGAATAAGTCTAAAACAGAATTGGACCTTATGAAAAATGACTTTACTGTATATCAGAAACACACTGTCATCTCAGACAAACTGTCATTTCAAATCACCAGACTGAATTTAAGAAGCTACTTTGGCAGATTTGGCTAGAGGAGGTAATTTTGAACTTGGTTCTTTAAAGTTATATTCTTAGAATCTGCCCCTAGATTTGAATGTGTTTCCTACCTACTCCACGCCCTGGTGCTTAGAGTTGGAAAAGGCTCGTAAGCATAGTAACTTCAAACTCCATTAACACACCTGTGAAATGTGTAATCCGCTGATGAAAAATCTCTCAAATGCTTGTCATCCTGAAGTAGTTTACAACTATATTTTCATCTTAACATGTTTATCACTCATTACCCTTTTAAGATTGATAAATGCATGTTGATTGATTTCTATTTATAAAATTCCCTCTATTAACTAATACATAATATAAATTGAAAACAAGATAGAAGTAACAACTCTCAGCCATATAATAGGAATATAAACACAGCTTTAAAAAACTACAAGCAAGCACATTCAACTATATTTACATTTATTTCTTCTAGTATTTACCTCATTGACTACATAATATGTATCTCCTATGCCTTCTGAGTCATCATTTTAAGATACTAGCCACTGATTTGTGTTTTATCAGGTAAGGATTTCACTTTCTTTAATCACTCCTGTTTTCCATCTTCCTTGTTCTAATAACTTTCCTTTGATATAATAACTTATGATGTCACCTTTTATTATATTGGTGTTTACAAATTATCCTCATGACTTCTTCAACTTTCTAGGCAATTTCTCCAACTTTTTCTTTGAGGTCTATGAAGTCTTTTTTTCATAGTTTTAGTATCTTATAGCTCTATTATTTGATGGTTTCTTTTTGCATTTTGAAAATAAAAGGGGTAACAAAAATGTAGTCTGCATCTAAGAAGAGATTGAGTTACATGTTTGAAAAGAATGGGTATCAGAATTCATAAGACTAAAGGTGAGTATGGTTGAGGGAGCAAGAAAGTAATGATATATTGCTACTAGTGAGAACATTGACAAGTTAATGGTTGACAGCCTATAGTTCTTACACAGTAGAAGCTTTTAATGTTTGGAGACTTTCAGCCATTAGAAGAGTCTCTTGGAGGTGATGAAAGAAAAACATGATTTCTGCCCAAGGGCCTTCCTGGTGGCCTAGGGGTTAAGTCTCAGTACTATCACCGAGGTGGCCTGAGTTCTATCCTCAGCCAGGGAGCTGACCCACATATGGTGCAGCAGACCTCTCCTGTCACCTTGCTACTCCCCTTGGCAGTGTATTGATGGTTGCGCTTGTTCTGCTTCCCTGATCTGTCTCTGGTGAATCTTCTCACCCCTGCACTTATGGCCTACACCCTACTTCTACACACACACACACACAAATATTTTAAAATCAAGGGCCCTCCCTGGTGGTGCATTGGGTTAAAGTGCCGCAATACCAAGCTGGCCACAGTTGCTTTAGCACAAGTTTGATCCCAGCCCAGGGAGGTGACCCACATGGTGTGGCAGAACTTTCCTGTCTTGCCTTCTGTTCCACTCAGTAGTGTACCTGTCAGTCTGCCTGTTCTGCTCCCCACTCTGTCTCTGATGAATCCTCTCCCCAACCCCACTCCTCACCTTTGGCATACATCCCAGCTCTTGTATACATAAATAAAAATAAATCATAAAAAATTCACTACAGATTCAATAAAGCTTTTAATTTATGAATTCTCTCACACACTCATATCCTTTTGCAGCAAGTGGAATACCAGCAGGTCAGACTGATTTGTTATGGACAGTAAAATTTTGAACGTATCATTGAGAAGAATACAGGGTAGAATTCAAGATTATTTTCTTTAGTTATAGGATTTTTTTTTTTTTTATAATTTCAGTAAATGGTCCCGTGGTTTACAGTTTTACTGAATGTACTGAAAGGGCTTCATGTATTTTCTCATCACTAGCCCATTTTGGGATCCTCACATCAAACTGGATGAGTGAGATAAATGAGTAAACCACATATCTTAGTGGCAGGAGGAGTGTGTAGGATGTAGAAGTATAGGTTCAGATCTCTTGAGATGTATGTCACTACACTATACCCACCACCACAGCACTTGCCAGCAATTTCCCAGTGAGTTTCAGTGACCTTAACTCATTCTTGTGCATATCTTTTTTCTGGATCATTACCTATGAAAACAAGGTCTTCTAGCTTACAGTTGTTCTTTTCTATTGCCTTGGGCAGTTAGCTGGGAAACCTGGTCTGTCACAAGTTGAGGAATTTGTTCCAGATTCTTGGGTTGTTCCTCAGCAGGCAATATTTAGTCTTAAGACAGTGCTACAAAGGAGTAGGAGGTCATGGAGTTACAGCACTGCATTGAAGAAAAGAAAAAGAAAAGCCGGAGGCTGGACCTTTCCAAAGCTGTGCAGCTGGTTGAATTTGGCTTTGTTTAATGCCAAACTTCTCAGAAGGCTTTCTTTGGCTGATTAGGTTTGATAAAACCTTCACTTGAGGGTGTTGCTTAGCAATGAGATTTTGCAGCACCTAGTTCTCAAAGAGTCAAGCAACCATCAATTCCCTGTCTCCCTTTCCACCAACCCTGAAACACCATCCAGAAACTCCTATTAAACAATTAAGTGTGTGCTGGAGGGAGGGACCAGAGAGAAGGGACAAAGTTTAATCATTGAACTAAGCAAGCTGAAAGTATTTTATCTGTAGCACCTACTTTCCAGGAGATCTCCAGCCTCAAGTACTCAGAGACTTGGGGATACACTATACAGGAATCTCTGCCTATCTCGGAAGAAGCCAAACTTGGGGAAAATGTTTGCTGTACATTTGGTATCATTCTTTTTCACTAAGCTGAAGGAGGATCAGATCAAGAAGGTAAGGACTCAGAACTTCAGAAATACCTAATTCATTCTTCACTGACAGAACTGATTCCTTCCTACCCCAAAAAGAATTGAAGAGAGCTCATACAGGGAGCAAAGAACTAGTAAAAAACTTAGGCTGGGTATTGCATGTTATCCTGAGTTTTGATTTACTCAGAACTTCTGATAGATTTGGGATGGGAGGGGATGAAGAAAAACACTAGATGCTAGAAGACAGTTGTGTTTATTGTGAGAGATTTGGAGGGGGGAAAGACTACAAAGGAAAAGAGTCATTTTGAAAGAAATTTTGAAAACTTTAATTTGCATGATTCTTAATGTATTTGAAAAAATGTAAATATAGACACCACAAGGAATATATTTGAAGGAATGTAAATATAGACACCACAAGGAGCTTTAATGTGCAACAATTGAAATATTTAATATTAGTGTGTACTACTTGCCAATAGTGTGGTGTTCATTATTATTCCACTTTGCACAAGAACCCCATCTATAAGATTCATCCCAGAGTTGTCAAGTTCAACTAGGGGCCACAAGCATTCTTTCCTGCATACTGGAATGACCCCCCCCCCCCCCACTGTGGCTGTACTCAGAGCATCTCTCAATTTACAGATAACAAATCCTCCCAGCAGGCCCACTTAGCCACGGCCACCCAGCTATTTAAGATGAGTTGAGGATTAAACTGCAGTCACTGACGACTTCTGCTTTGATAGAGCCACTGTGCCTCTGGGCTTTGTAAACAGAGAGAAGCCTGGTCCCTTACAGCCCTGATGTGCAAGGTGGCATACAATTCCACTAAATTCTGTCCATTATAGTTGAGTTAAAGATTATAACAAATCTTAAGACATTATAACTCAAGCAAGATTTAACCTGTGTTAATTTTCATTTGTTGGTTAGATTCACAGAGCCCTATCTACTTGTTAAGGAGGTCGAAAAATCCTCTCCAGCACTGTGTAGGAATTCACTTTCTATTACCCTTCTTAGTAAAGATGCTGCCTGCATGGTGTTTCTCTAAACCCCAAGGGGGCATTTTTGGGAAACATACCTTTGGTTCTGCAAATTGGTTTATTTTCTTTTGTCTCTGTGATGGTTAACCTTTTGTTAAACTAGAGCCAGAGTAGGCATGTTTGTCCATTGGCCCCGATGGCCCCGATGCAAACTCAGGAGGTCCCTCTGACTTGAAATGCATTATTTTTTGATCTGTTCCAGATGCTTCTGCTTCTTTGTCAAGGCCTAGAGTTAGCTTTTCCCAAGTGAGTGCAACAGATACAGTCAGAAGTGTGTTATAGTCACCTTAGGTAGGTAACCCAACAGGTGACTGGGAGTGTGTGGAGGCCAGTTTATGGATTGCTGGAGTGAGTCATAGGTTCGGAGAATTCTTTACTTCTCCACATGACCAAAATACCTGGTCAAAAGGCAAACTCTCCCCTCTCCAGGTTCAAGCAGCCAGTTCTCAGTTTCTATGCTTCTTGTGTCTAAAGCTGTCAGAATTCTGTGCCATACTTGCTTTTGAGGGTCACTAGTCAGGCTCTGAAACAATTTTGGAAAATCTCCCCTTACCAGCATTAAAACAAAAGGAGAAATTGGGAAAGGAAACTTCTCCACTTCCAATTCAATATATTGACATTATTTGACCTATTGATAACATTGCACTGGGCTGGTCAGTGACCTGCAGACTGTTCTCATAAGAGAAGCTCTGGTTAGATTTTTCAGTGTGTACCTTTTACAGTTTGGTAAGTCAACATTACGAAAAGTGGAAATGTTACCTTTAATCTCACTCTTCTCAAAAACATATTTGCTGTGTGGAAACTCTTGTTGCTTTTTTTTTTTTAATGGTGTACATTTTTACAGCTTATACATATAACTTTGATCTTGTAGCCTTCACTTATTGTTATATTGAAGTCACATTTCTCCATCATCCTTGTAATTGTCATTTTAATGTCTTTCTACTGTTCAATCACCATGGATATGCCAAAATCGAACATTTCCCCTCTTGTTGGACATTTGCTACTTTCAAAAACATTTTTTAACAATATTGCTATAAACATTTTTTAAGATACTGCTATAATGGTATGGTAACATACATTGGAAGATGAGTGACTCTGTATCATATATAGTGTTACATGCTAATATTACCTCAATAATAAATGCAATAAATTATAAGATTGCAAGAGAGGGATAATGGTATGTATTTAATGTTCTCCATCTTTGGGATTATTTCCTGAAGACAGATTCCCAGAAATGAAATCACTAGGTCAAAGAGTTGAACCTTTTTATGACTCTTCAATCATATGGAACCTTTGGACTAGTGATTTCTAAAGTCCTTTCCACCTTCCACATTCTATGACTCACCAGTTCTGTGCTAACATTTTTCACTTTGCTCTTCCTGAACTAATATGCAGCTTGTTGGCTCTTTGGTTTAGAAGGTAACCATATTATGAGCCGTTACTCCAAAAATGGACTTGAATTTTTGCAAATCAAGTGCCCTCATTTACCCTTATTTGGGGCCTGCCTGGTTATACAGGCTCCAACTTGCCTGGATTTAAACTATCTTTCCTGTCCCTACATATATTTCTTCTTTCCTCTTTACTCTAGCAGGGGCTGTAGAAGACACAAAGAAAGTAAGACACTGTTGCTAAGTTGACATTCTTCGTCATCACTTCAATTTAGTGAAATAGCAGCAGCAGTCACCCAAAGTTCTAAACTATAGCTCCTAAAGACCTCTGTGGAGCCTCAAATCATTACATAGAAGGGGTGACACTAGGGAGAGGCTCAGAGAAGCTCTTTATACGCTGGGGCTGAGTGAAAATGAGCAATAAGTTTAGGGGTACTGTTTTGAGGGTCTTTGAGGTGACAGGAACAAGTTTACTTTCGATGCAGTATATCTCACCTTTTCCCCAAGTCCCAGTTACTGGGGGTCACATCCCTTCTGTTGCTTTTCTCCAGGCATGTGTGACTGTGCCAACCAATTAGTCATAAATAGACTCAGGATGAACAGGAAGCCTTAATGAAGCATGACCTGGTTATATCCTATCTTTTCAAATATGCTGAAAGCCCAATTGTCTTTTTGTGTTAATGGCTCTCTAATGGTTTTCTGGCCTCTCTCTGGCCTCCCCCCCAGCCCCAAGTCTTTGAAGCCTTAGCCTATTTCACTGTCTTTGTATCAATTCAGGGCTGAGCTGGGAGCCCTGCCCTTTAGCCCTAGCTGAGGGCTGGGAAGCTGTCCTCTGATAAAGATCATGTGACCTCTGCACTTTGGGTATAATGTGTTGGGCTTTGGATCCCACATAAAGCTGTGCACCAAACTACCAGGTCTTGGGGCAAAGAGCATGGAGTCTGTGTTGTAGTGTCAGTGTTTCCTCTTACAGTGGCTCTTCTAAAGCTGCTGAATAACCCTGAGTCTTGGATCCCTTATCTCTCCATTAGAGATGGCAATTCTGGCCTTACCTGGCTGCTTCAAGGGAATTTATGGGGTGACATTTAGGTGACACACATGAAAGCCCTTCACAGATTGCAGTGCCTGTGAGTAGCCTGAGATAAAAGAGTGGGAGGACACTTCCTCCTGGAACATGCCAGCATCAAGCCTCCTTTGACTTGGATGGCAGAGAGGCCACTCAGTGTAAAAGAAGGGGGGCCTTTGCTACTAGCCCTCCGTAGATAATCCATCCCAATGGGATATCCATCCCAGCTCTGGAAATCCACCACTGATTAACATTAACCTGGGGGAGAAAGCTTTTCTGCTATCCTAATGTGACATACTGCCTTCAAATAGGCTGAGTACAGTCACAATAACTTTTATAACTCCTCCCCCTTACTCTCCCCTCAAGTCCCCCCCTCCCCCTGCCCAGCATATTTGGGCAGTGGTTCTATGTCCTAATTTTCTAGTAGGTTGAGTGATAGGCAACTCATTTCCAATAGCAAATTTGACTTTCAACTTAAATGTCATCCTAATTAGAACAACCTCAGTTAAAACATAATGAAAATTTAAAGTACTAGATTTTAGAGATTGCAATGAGAAGTAGGGTTTTAACTCTAAGCTTCCTAATCGCCAGTAAACAAAGGGAAACGTCTATATAGCTTATATAGTCATCACTGGGTTAAAAAAAAATAGCTTCCATGCTTAGGAATTGAAGGTTCAAGCTATAGCTAGTTTCTAGTGGAGAGATCCTGACTGGGGAATTACAAACTCTGAATCCTTTGTTCTTTCTCTCCATTGTCCCATCAGGAAAAGAGCGGAGTCATTTCTGAGTTTGCCCTCTAGAGGAATAAATCCTCGCCTCCCCAACTTCTATTCCATTTTGTTCTAACACCCTCCTTGTCCCCAGCTAGAAGTCAGGCTAGGGACTTTTGGAGATCCACATCACAAAGCTGTCTACAGTGTGAGGAATGCAGCTTTGTGCTAGAAGTGGAAATTTATAGACTCGACTGGAGGGCAAGTGCAGCCAACCATGGTCACCCACCCCGGTGTTTGTTCCAGGTGGACAGGTTCCTGTACCATATGCGGCTCTCTGATGAGACCCTGCTGGACATTATGGCACGGTTCCAGGCTGAAATGCAGAAGGGCCTGCAGAAGGACACCAACCCCACAGCTTCAGTGAAGATGCTGCCCACCTTTGTCAGAGCCATTCCAGATGGCTCAGGTAAGTGGGGGGAGGCTTGCCAAGGATCCTGATCTCCCTAGTTCCTATGTGGCTGATGAATGCCTGACACTTGGCCCTATACCCTAGCTTCTCTCTTCAGTCCTCTCTCTTCACATACCCATCCCAACTTTCCTGACTGTATTTCAGTCATAATGAATATCAGAATTTTTGAGCCAGTGTTCATGGACAAATACCCCTTCTCTCTGCCTGCCTTGCTTCACACTCTCTATCTATCTCCTGTTGGCACATCACAACATTCCCTGGTGAGCACTAACATGCTTTCTGACTCATGTCTTCACCTGGGACGTATCCCCACGCGGGGTTAGGTGCTTGCCAGTGCCTTTCATCTTCAGAATCAGCAGCACAGCATCTTTAAATCTCTCTCTGGCCCTGACCCTTGTGCACCCCTTTGCATAATTAAAAACTCTGTGATTATAGACTCACTCAGATAATGCAGCGTAATTTCCCAACCTCAGGATCAGCTGATAGGCAATGCAATTTTTATTCAATCTGTAGCCTTCATTCCCCTAGCTATGCAACCTAATGTTCACAGAATCTGGTACTGGGATGTGGACATCTTGGGGAGAGAGTATTTTGTTTTCCATAGTCTAGAGGGAATCTATGAGGTTTCACCCATCCATTTGTAATCCTATAGGAGAGAAAGGAATGGGTACATATCAGTCACGTGGTGCTAGGTACTCTCTCACACACCCCCATAAGAACCCTGTCGTGTAACTTAGCATCATGTCAGAGATTACTGAAAACCAAGTGGCTTCCTCAATGTCAAGGTCCCGGCATTCCAACCAAATTCTAATACAGGTTTTTGGGGCTATTGAAAGAGCAGTTACTGAAGTCTGGGGAGCTCTCAGGGGAGCTTTGATTGAATTAGCTGGTTCTGGGCCCCTTTTGGATGATACTTAAGTCAGAGGAGCTTGGCTCTGCCCTTTGAGAGAACCTGTAATGGGAAAGTCTTGTTCCTTCACTGGTGAGGGAGTCCTTGGGTGAACAGTTCCACCCTGGAGAAGCATAGGTTTTGCAGAGAAGCAGATCTGCTTTGAAATTCCTACCCACTTGCTAACCTGCTCCATGAGAGTGGTGAGTGGCCTTGATGGGTCATCTGGGGCCATTCACAGGAAGAGCCTGAGTCATGGCCTGAGTCATGGGATTTGGGAGCATTTATTCAGGCAACCAAGGCAAAGTCCTCTTGGCTCCTTGTGCTGCTTCTCCCCCAGAGGCACGTCCCCAGAGACAAGAGGAAGTGGTATTTGGTGGCCTGGAGGCTTCCAGACCAGATGTTCCTTCCTGGTCCTGGTTGCTTCAGGAAGGTTTGGATATAAAATTGAAACTCTCCTCCTCGGCCAGGAGACTACCCCTCCTTTCTTCACTGTCATCTCATCACACAATAAATGTCACCAATGATGCTGTTTCTGTGAACTTCCTGGGCCCAGCGTCCCTATAGAGTCAGGTAGCCTTGGGCAGTCCCAGGACTGCCTATCCTTGAGCACTCCTATCCTCGTCACTGAAAGGACTCTGACCAGTGTGTCCCGCCAACTTGTGGGGTTGTTAGGACCAAAAAAATGAGGTCATACAAAAAGAAAACTTTAAAGTTTCCAAAATATTTCAAGTCATCCTTTGTTTCTGTGAGCTGGTGGTATAATTTCATGATTACTGTAAAACCAAGCAAAGCTCTCAGTTTCTTGGGGCCTCCATTCCCAATGTATGCAATTGTCAGATAACTCCTGAGTTTGCCTACTGTCTGTAAATTCTCCTCTTGGGGTACCTAGCTGAGAGTAGGTAACCTGTTTAAACTTTAATTATCTCCAGTCTTCCAGACAGGGAGCTGCTTTGAAGGTATTGTGCCTTCTCTACCACTCATGAGGGAAGGACACAGGAAGCGCTGTCTCCTGAGTGTGAGGGCTCTTCCCAGCTGCCTCTCTTCTTGGCCTCTGTCTCCAGACAGCCTCCTGGGCCCTACGAAGTTGAGTTATGGGGCTGAGCCCAGGGATCCCTGAGGTAGTTAACCGATGGGCCAGGGCTCAACACTAGGACAGGGTTCCCATACTTGCCTGAACTTAAGATTAACCTGGGGTGATTCCTAATCATATGGCTTCCCAGCCACCACCACTCCAAAAATACCTAGAGAGTTTGAATCATAGGGAATCTGCACATTCAGTCATTGTGCATCTCTGGAGAGCTGTATAAGAAATGGAGAAAGAGCAGTGGGACAAGGCCTGGCCATAGCTTAGAAGAAGGAAAGCCCCATGCCCAAGGCACCCTGGAGCTCTGAAAGTCATAGCAAGGTCATCCATGGCAGGGGGGTGTCAAGAAACTCACCCTCTTGGGAAGTCATGTTCTTACTGTTGTAAAGCACCTCCTTGGCCTTTACAACTGCCTGTGTTGCCCTCTTCTGTGCAGATTCTGCCTCCCCTCAGTGACTCTTGCCTCAATGTAAAGCCATCATTTGGGCCCTATCTCTTTTTCCTCATGGAGTGTGACCCCTCTGCCAGAGAGCCTGAGACTTGTGTGGACCTGGTCTCTCTTCCCTACAAGCTAGCTTTTCCTGCTTGCTGTGTCTGCATTCTTTCCTCCCACTCCTCCACCCTGCTCATGTGTTTATTCCTCATTGGAGTATCAGCTCTCTCTGTTCCCAGTGGTGCATGCTAGAATTGGTTTTTACCACAAAAGCCATTTAATACCACCTGCTTGAAGGCAAGTCACGTATCTCCAAATGAACACATTGCTCCCTACAGCATAGCCTAGTGGGAAGGGCTCAGGTTTCAGAGTCAGACAGACTTTGTCACATCCCAGCTAGCTGCTCCCCTTAGTGTGAGGGCTCAGATGGACAGCTCCCAAACCTCAGCAGGTGGCCCAGGTAATCCCTAGCTGTGGGTTGATTGTGAGAATTAGTAACACTTATATGCATTAATTGATATGTACATGTCCAACTTCTAATGCAGAGCTCGTTATACAGTAGACTCTCAATAAATCACTACTTTTTGTTTGTTTATTTTAATAGAAAATGGGGAGTTTCTTTCCCTGGATCTTGGAGGATCCAAATTTCGAATCTTGAAGGTGAAAGTCTCTGAAGAGGAGAAACCAAACGTCCACATGGAGAGTCAGTTCTACCCAACACCCACTGAAATTATCCAAGGGAATAGCTCAGAGGTACCTGGGCAGCGGCCTGTGTGGGTGGGGGAGGTGCTGGCCTCACATTTATGAGTGACCATGCCTTAGCCCAATGTCCTGTGCTTGCTTTTTTCTGCAGCTGTTTGAGTACGTGGCGGACTGTCTGGCAGATTTCATGAAGACCAAAGGGTTGGAAAATAAGAAATTTCCCCTTGGCCTAACATTTTCTTTTCCTTGCAGACAGACTAAGTTGGAAGAGGTAAGATCAGTGTTGGGGAGGGAAGAAGCAGTGCAGGACTTGGGGTTGGGGCTGGAGAAAGTAGACATGTGTAGTCTGGTGGGCACAGGAGGGAATCAGAGTTTCTTGCTTGTTTGTCTTTTTCTTTTTTTTTTTTTTTTTAACGATGAGGTAGAAATATGAGACAGAAAACTTGTTAGTGCAAATGCCTCATTTCACACTTAATCTGGGCATGGCTAAGGGAACAGAATGGCTTTACCCTCAGCTCAGTGGGTCCAAGGAGTGCCAGGAGAGCTTGTTAACTGCCCTTTTTTTCTCGATCCCACCTGGAGTTTCTTCATTTGTAAGGCCCAAGATTTGCATATCCTGCTGGCCTTGTAACCACTGAATAGCAGGTAGAATAAGGGTGGGAAGGCTCAGGAATGTCACCTCCTAACTTACAGAGAGGTCTGAGGGCGGCAGGGCCTGAGGTGCGGTCTTTGGAATGCCGGTGTTGAGCACACGTAACACACAGGACGCAGTCTCAGCTGTGTCACTGGCCAGCTGAGGGTCAGATAATGCATCTCTGTGTGCTTCAATTTTTCCATTTGTCAGCAGGAAGAAGTCATACCCAATTTCTTGTGAATCTGTGAAAATAAATAAGTTGCCATAAAAGAGGACAAGAATTTTTCTGGGGTAAGGGAGTTACGGTCAGGTGTTAATATCAAGGAAGGAAGGGGAGAAAGCCTTCTCTCAGCAAAGTCTAATTGAATTACTTGTATTTTATGAAATATCCTTCCAAGCAACCTTTCAGTGAAGTCTAAAGTTAAGCCACAAGAAAATACCTTAGAAGTCATCTCTGAGTGTGGGCTCTTACAGCACAGCTATTTAACCGTGGTTCTCTGCAGATACAGACTTTGTGACAATAGAAAGAGGTTGGGTCTGATCAGTCATGTAAATGCAAAAGAAGGTGGAAAGAAAAGTCTGTGAGGAATAAGTGTGGCTTGGGGTTTCTTTGTGGAATTAAAAAAGACTGAAGAATCTAGGGCATGGGGATAAAAGCAGGAAGGCACTTTTTTTGTTTGTTTGTTTTTAAAGATTTATTTATTTATTCATACAGAACTGGGGTACAAGCTAGAGATGTGGAAAGGATTCACCAGAGACAGAGTGGGGAGCAGAACAGGCAGATCTATGAAGCACACTGCTGAGGGGAGCAGCGGGTGGGTCAGGAGAGGTCTGCCAGCCATGTGGTCACCTCCGGGACAGGCAGGGATTGAACTCATGCTAAAGTGGCTTTAGCGTCTCAGTGCTGTGCTTTAACCCGCTGCGCCACCAGGGAGGGCCATTTAGGTGTTTTTTTAATGAGGGAAGAGGAATTTCTTTGTGTCTGTATATGTTTCTGACACATAATTAAAGTGGTAATACTTTAAAATAGGAAAAAACAAGATAAAAGAGGTAGGATTTGGGAGTTTTTAAGAAGAAAATAGAAATGACTTCAACCCTAATCTTCACAGATCCCAAGCGAGAATTGTTGGGTTTCCATCTAGTCATGTCTATATTGAAGATTGATGTTAAGCTATATGTGTGTGGTTTTAAAAAATATTTTATGTATTGATATTTTTTAGTTAACATTATATAACAAGCATTTATTCTTTTATAAACCCTCCCCAACAGACCTCACGTCGTGCCTAGTACCTCTTTTGGGAGTGGGTTATCACCCTACTGTCTCTTAATCTTACAGATAAAAGCAGGGATGTAACCATATCCCGTGAAGGTCAAAGTTACAGAGATCTGCCACTAGGCGGCAGTGTGGTCCAGGAAAAAAAAAACAGGTGGCAGGTGGGGCGTCCAGGGTCAGCCATCTAACTGGGCAATCTTATTGCTGGACACCTTGGGCAGTTTTCTTCCTTTTAAAATCTGTGTCTTTTTCTGTGAACTGTAGGGTTTTGGGAGATGTGGCTGGAGAATTTGTGCCCTTGGGCTCAACTAACTTGACTACGTGGCCTTGGCAAGTCTTTTTTCCCTAGTTTTCTTCCAGTTGGGAGAATACTGATTGCTTGTTACTTCAGACATGAAATTTTGGGGAACCACTATTTTAAAACAAACAATTATAATATAATAATATAAGTTGAAAGGCACTTTTCTAAGTAGAAATTAAGTATCTGGAGGTGACCTATAGGATAACAACCATGTTACTTCTGTCTTATGGACAAACCATGTATTCTGCATATATAACTTGTATCTAGATCATTACAGCTATTTTCATTAGAGCATTCCTGTAACAAAGACAGGGAGGTGATATCTTCATTCAACAAATGAATGAGTTGAGGCTCAAATGAGAGATTAGTGATTTTTCCAACATCTTGTGCTAACGTTTTAGCAATTGCTTTTTTTAGCAATTACTTTTTCTGTTTTAAACTTCTCAGATGTGAATAGTAAAGATGTTTACATGATTAGAAATGGCCTCTGAAGAAATACTGAAAGGACTGGAGTGGTTCTGCTTAGAAAAGAGAAGGCCAATGGCTGCTCTCTAAGCACGCCACTCCTACAGCTCATTCTCAGCACTGTGTCTTCATTTGACTGGATCTGAACTCCTCCCTCAGGGTGTCCTTCTTTCCTGGACGAAGAAGTTTAAGTCTCGGGGCGTTCAGGACACAGATGTAGTGAGACATCTGCAAAAAGCCATGAGCAAACACAAGGTGAGGAATTCTCAGGGGGCTCTCCTAGGTCTAACACTTCCCTCTTGTGTTATGTGGAGTGTCTCTCCCGTACCTGTGTTAGAAAGAGAATCAGAAGGAACTGACCTGAGGGAAGGTCTCTCTAAAGTCCTGATGTGCTAGTTTGGATGGAACCACTGGTGAGGCGTGGTGTGGGGCTCGCCAGGCATTGCTGAAAGGTGGCTCTGGGATCTTCCCCAGCTGCCACAGGGCATCGTGGTTAGGCCTCTTGCTGTGTTAGACTCCCACCTCCACCTCTCCTCTCTGAGGCTTAAAAGGTCTCTTTTTTTCCATTCTAGCTCTCAAGTACTTTCTATGTCACTGAATGCCTATTTGTTGAATAAGTTTATCATAATCTAAAATAACTGCAAAAATAAGACATGTTCCTTGCTGAGCTGAAAAGTACACAAATAACTCCAAATTACTTGTTACCCTATGGCAAGTAGAATAGTTTGATATTCATTTTTCTCTTTTCTCATTTAAATTGTGATTGTTTCTTATGTGGCCTGTTTCTCTCTTATTGTTTCACTTTCTTTAAAGTGCTCCCCAAACCTTGAGAGATCATGGCGCAGTAGCCCAAGTCAGCTTGGCAGCCTGGGAAACCCATCCTGCTGCCCATGGAGAGGACTTGGCTGAAGTGAAGATGTCCTAACCGACAGGGAATTAGGTGTTTCCTCCTGGTGTTTTCACCATCGCTCCAGAATACATTTGCTTTCTTTAGGTTCCTTTTGACAAGGGCTGCAGGCTCTTTACATTTCCACTGCACGGAAGCCTTCACCTCTAAAGTAGGCACATGTGCTTCCTTCTTCACTTCCCGACTGCTCTCTCTCTCTCTCTCTCTCTCCCCCCAAGCCTCAGAACCTTGACAAAAGCTGTATTTCTTCCAGGCAGACCCAGCAGGCAGGATCTAGTGAATGTCTCAACCAAGTCACCTTCATTGCATTTGTATCCACTGTGGGGAAAGTTAAAGGGATAATTCCTCCTTCCTGCCCTCTGGGCTTGTATTTCAGCAAGACCTAAATGTGGACATCCTGGCCTTGGTCAATGACACCGTGGGGACCATGATGACGTGTGCCTATGACGATCCCTACTGCGAAGTTGGTGTCATCATAGGTAACTCATTTGACTTGTTTCTGGGGATGGGAAATGGGCAAGTTGAGGCTTCTTCTCAGCAAATTCTGTTGATGGGTATTGGCATTTCTACTTAGGAGAAACAGCATAGGAAGGTGGAAAAATCACACAGCTGTCCATTCATTCAACGAGTGTTTACTGAGTGCTTACTGTGTGCTAGGCCCACCATCCTGTTAGACCCCAGGATGTATGGGATCATTCTCCAGTACTCAAGGATCTGAGGCATTTCCTTGGAGTGATTTTGTATTTGAATAATGGCATGTTGCTTTCTTTTGTGATGGATAATCACATAGGATGTAGCTTATGCTAGGAATAATTTATGGCAGGCCATGAATAAGTGCTATTTCTAGTATCAAATAAAGAGAAATATAAGTAGCTTAATGACACATATATACATTTACAGGATGAGGTTAACTCATCCTCCTCTTTGTAAATGTGCTTTGTCAACTTTCATACATATTCATCAGGGACTTCATCACAATTGACACCATTCAGAAAGCAAGCCATTACCACCCCAGGAAGTGTAGATTTGACATGTCAGCTTTATTCCTTACGGAACTCCCAGGCTTGCCAAAGCTGTTTTCTTCAATGAGAACTAGCCTCGGGAGTGGGTCAAAAGCACTTTGTGGCACGTTCAGAGGACTCTGAAGCAGCCAAGAGTTCTCTCTGACTGCTCAGCCTGAGTCCTCTGTCTCTGCATATTCTGTCTGATCCCGCATTCAGGCACTGGCACAAACGCTTGTTACATGGAGGATATGAGCAACATCGACCTGGTGGAAGGCGACGAGGGGAGGATGTGCATCAACACGGAGTGGGGGGCCTTTGGGGATGACGGGGCCCTGGAAGACATCCGCACGGAGTTTGACCGGGAGCTGGACCTTGGCTCTCTCAACCCCGGGAAGCAACTGTGAGTCCCCTTGAGCAGTAATTGGGCATCAGCATCAGGGGGTATACTTTATACCTGGGAGGCCTTTTTGGTTGTGACTAGTTACCCATCAGCTGAAGTTTATGAGGCACGGTTTGCGTTTTCAGTTTCCCTAGATAGTGAGGAAAATGAAGCCAAGGATGTTGAGTTACTTTCCCTGGGCTATCATCCTGATTCTTACCGACACCTCTGGAGCACATCTGTGAGAGGCAGAGGAGGGAGAGCTGGGAAACAATGACTCAGACTGTTCCCTTTTGTAGCACTGGGACCAGTGGCTACAGACCCAGCCAGAGGAGGCAGGACACACAAATTCCTCAGCTGGGTTTCCCTTTCACCTCCCTTCCATCTCCCCTCCGTCCTGCTCCCAGCTTTTCTCAGATACCAACCACACAGCGCCTGGTATGATGCCTTTCTAGCTTCAGGTCTCACTGAGCCTGAGTCTCATCCCAGACCCAGCGGAATAAATATTCAGGGGCTGTTTGGTGCCACTCGTGAATGCATGAATTGTGTGTTCTGACTGCCCTGGTGACTCTTCTATCTGACTGCTCCTCCATCTCGCTCCTTACCTTGGGGTCTCCTACTTCCTTAGGCAAACAGTATTGAAATTAGGCCAACAAATAACTCTACAGTGGTCTCCAAGTGTTCAAGGAAGAGTTGTACCTCTTTCAATTCAAATGAAAAGCTAGACTGATTATATTTAGTGAGGAAGTCATGTGGAGAGCCCAGGCAGCTGAAAGCTAGGCCTCTTGCACCAAACAGCAAAGCTGTGGATGCAAAGAAAAAAGGTTCTTGAAGTAAATTTCAAGCACCACTACAATAAACACTTAAACAATAAGAAAGTGAAACAGTTTGTCAACAAGGAGAATGTTTTAGAGCTCTGGATTGAAAATCATACCCAACCTTCCCTTATGCTACACCTTAATTCAGAGCAAGATCCTCTTTTCAATTTCTGGAGGCCAAGAGAGGTAAGGAATCTGAAGAAGGAAAGTTTGAAGGTAGCAGAGGTTGGTTCATGAGGCTTAAGGAAAGAAGCAATTTCTACCACATAAAAGTATGAAGTGAAGCAGCAAGTCCTGATGTAGAAGCTGCAGCAGTTTTCCAAAAGATCTGGCCAAGATCATTGATGAGGGTGGCTATACTAAACAAGATTTTCAGTGTAGATCAAATAATCTTTTTATTGGAAGAAGATGCCATCTAGGATTTTCATAGCCAGAGAGAAGTAAATGCCAGACTTCAAACTTTGAAGGACAGGCTGGCTCTCTTACTAGGGCTAATGAAGGTGGTGACCTGAAGGTGAAGCCAATGTTCATTTATCATTCTGAGAACCCTAGGGTACTGAAGAATGATGTTAAATCTACTCCAATGTGCTCTCTAAAGGAACAGCAAAACTTAGATGACAACACATCTGTTTACAACATGGTTTATTGAGTATTTTTAGCCCTCTGTTGAGACCTCCTAATCAGAAAAGGAAAAAAAAAGTTTCCTTTCAAAGTATTTCTGCTCCTTGACAATGTACTTAGTCACTCAAAAGCTCTGGTGAGGGTGTCCTGAGATTCATGTTTTCATGCTGCTAACACAGCATCCATTCTGTAGCACATGGATCAGGAGACATTTTGACTTATTATTTAAAGACATTTCATAAGGCTATAGCTGCCCCAGGTAATGATTCTTCGGGTGGATCTAGACTTAGTCAACTGAAAACCTTTTGCAAAGGATTCACCATTTACAATAGATGCCATAAAAGACATTTGTGGTTAATGGGAGGAGGTTGATTTTAATTCTCATGGACTTTGAGGGGTTCAAGACTTCCACAGAGGAGTTTACTATGGATGTAGTGGAAATAGAGAATTAGAATTAGAATCTGAATATGTAACTGAATTGCTGCCATTTCATGATAAAACTTGGACAGATGAGTTGCTTCTTGTGGGTGAACAAAGAAAGTAGGTGGAATCTACTCCTGGTGAAAATGTTGTGAGCATTTTGCTGAAATGACAGCATTGGATTTAGAATATTACAATAACTTAGTTAATAAAGCAAGAGCAGAGTTTAAGAAGATTGACTCCAATCTTAAAAGAGCTTCTACTGTGGGTAAAATGTATCACACGACATCAGCTGCTACTGAGCCATCTTGCTTGAAAGAAAGAGTCAACCCATACAACAAACATCATTGTCTGTCTTAAGGAAGCACCACAGCTACCTCAGGGGCCTTCAGCAACTGCCATCCTCTAGTCAGCCACCATTGACATGGAGGCAAGACCCTTCACCAGCAAAACAATTATAATTCACTGTAGATGAAGGTTAGCATTTTTTTTTAGCAAGAAAGTATTTTTTAATTAAAGCATATATGTTTGTTTTTAAGGCAAAATGCTATTGTACACTTCATAGATGACAGTATAGTGCAAATATAACTTTTATATAAAGCAACTAAAAACTTCATGTGATTCACCTTCTTGCATCATTATTAGCTTTATTGTGGTGGTCTGGAAGCCAGCTCACAATATTTCCAAGGTGTGTCTGTATGCACATGCATTTAAAACACACATACACACAAGATACATATATGTATATGTGAGTTATTTTTGCCTGTACCATTTGAGACTGCTACAGACTACTTCTTTATTCATAAACACTTCAGAATATATTATCTGAAACAAGTACATTTCTTATATTACTGTATAAGTTATTACTGTAAGTTATAAGTAATAACTATGTCATAACTGATATAAATAGGTTATATAATAAAATATAAGTTATATTACTATATGTAGTAATACATATATTACTACAGCATAATTATCAAAATTAAGGAATTAACAATCAGTTTTAATATTTAATTTACAGACCTTATTCAAAATTCACCAGCTGTCCCACTAATGTCCTTCATTAAAAAAAATCAAATGAGGCCCCTTCCTGGTGGCGCAGTGTTTTAAAGCACAGCACTAAGAAGCTAAAACCACTTCAGCATGAGTTCAATCCCCGCCTGCCCTGGAGGTGATCCACATGGTGCGGCAGACCTCTCCTGGCCCACCTGCTGCTCCCCTCAGCAGTGTACTTCGTTGATCTGCTGGTTCTGCTCCCTACTCTGTCTCTGGTGAATGCTCTCATCGCTACTGCACCTCTTGCCTGTACCCCAGTTCTGTATGCACAAATAAATAAATCTTAAAAAAAAAATGTCCCAATCTAGGCTCCAATCCAATATCACACATTGCATTTTGCTGTCTTTTTTTTTTAAATATTTATTTATTTATGCACTACAGAACTGGGGTATAGGCCATAGGTGCAGGGGCCGTGAGAAGATTCACCAGAGACAGTGGGGAGCAGAACAGGCTGACTGATGAAGAACACTGCTGAGGGGAGCAGCGGGTGGGCCAGGAGAGGTCTGCCATGCCATGTGTTCACCTCCGGGGCAGGCAGGGATTGAACTCATGCTGAAGTGGCTTTAGCTTCTTAGTGCTGTGCTTTCACCCGTTGCGCCACCAGGGAGGGCCCACATTTTGCTGTTTTTTAATAGTTCCTTTAATATGGAACTTGAATACTGAGTATATCTGTTTTTCATGACCTTGTAGCACAGAGGCCAAATAGTTCACAGAATGTACCTCCATTGGGCTCCATCTGATGTTTTCTGATGAGTTTAGGCAGGTAATGCATTTTTCCAGGGCATCGTGTCAGATGCACATGATGTTTGTTCCATTGTTGGTGATGCTAACTTGAATCACTTGGTTAAGGGAATATCCCAGTTTCTCCACATAAGTTTTTTTATTACTCCTTCTATAATGAGTAAGAATCTGGTGAACAGAGATTTTAAGTGCCATCCAAATACTAGCGCTGTATACCTGGAAAGCAAAGTTCTGCTCTGGTTATACCTGCTCTTTAGCACACGTTTGAATAGTAGTCATGGCTCAAGGAAGTGATACCCATTTTTTGCCTTTATTATTTTCCACCTCTCTGTTTCATTAGAAATAAATTCCATTCCCCCAAAAGCCAACCTGAACTTTTTTATATTGTATTCTGTTTCCGTAATGTTCTAAGACTTTTTTTTTTTTTAAAGATTTATTTATTTATTTATACAGGGTAAAGGCCAGAGATGCGGAGAGTGAGAGGATTCACCAGAGACAGATTGGGGTGCAGAACAGGCAGATCAACGAAGTACACTGCTGAGGGGAGTAGTGGGCGGGCCAGGAGAGGTCTGCCGCGCCATATGGTCACCTCTGGGGCAGGCGGGAATCGAACTCATGCAGAGGTGGCTTAAGCTTCTTGGTGGTGTGCTTTAACCCGCTGCGCCACCAGGGAGGGCCATGTTCTAAGACTTTTAATAATGAAATAGATAAAGCTGATTATGAAATAGGTTGTCCTTGATTTTTTTTTTTAAAGATTTATTTGTACATACAGAACTGGGGTACAGGCCAGAGGCTTAGGGGCGGTGAGAGGCTTCACCAGAGAGACAGTGTGGGGAGCAGAACAGGCAGATCGAAGAAGTACACTGCTGAGGGGAGCAGCGGGCAGGTCAGGAGAGGTCTGCCACGCCATGTGGTCACCTCCGGGGCAGGCGGGGATCAAACTCATGTGGAAGTGGTTTTAGCTTCTCAGTGCAGCTTTAACCTGCTGCTCTACCAGGGAGGGCCGTGTCCTTGGTTTTTTGTCATATTGTGTTTAGAGAATAAAGATTATATTTAAGGGCCCTCCCTGGTGATACAATGGATTCAAGCGCAGAACTATGAAGCTATCCACAGCCACTGTAGCATGGGTACGATTTTGGGCCATGGAGGTGGTCTAGATGGCGTGGCATGTAGACCTGCCTGCTGCTCCCCTCAGCAGTGTATTTCAGTCAATCTCCATGTTTTGCTTCCCGCTCTGTTTTTCGCTGGTAAATCCTCTCGCGCCCTGCACCGCCCCCCTCTGGCCTGTATCCCGGTTTATGTAGGCATAAATAAATAATTTTTTTTTTTTTTAAAGATTTATTTATTTGTGCATACAGAACTGGGGTACAGGCCAGAGGCTCAGGGGCGGTGAGAGGCTTCACCAGAGACAGAGCGGGGAACAGAACAGGCAGATCGACGAAGCACACTGCTGAGGGGAGCAGCGGGTGGGCCAGGAGAGGTCTGCCACACCATGTGGTCACCTCCGGGGCAGGCGGGAATCGAACTCATGCGGAAGCGGCTTTAGATTCTCGGGCTGTGCTTTAACCCGCTGCGCCACCAGGGAGGGCCTAAATAAATAATTTTTAAAAATTATATTTAATAGTTTACCTGGGAAACAATTAGTAATTATTTGTTGTATGTACATGCAAAGTTAAGGTATAGGTAACTTGGTACAATATTTCACTTAAATCATTGTAGAAACTGTCTGGGGCCATCCAAGCCCAACTCATAAACAAAGCACTTTTCTCTCATGAAGTTTGACATAGGAGTTGAAATCATCAGAGTTTGAAATTTGAATTTATTATGCCGTGGTTAGGTGACCTTGAGAATGTATCTGATGTTTCCGAAGTTGAAATTTCCTTATGTCTAAGAGGAGAATGACACCCCACAGCCAGGAGAGATTTGAGAGGAAGCCTCTTGGAATCAAGTTCTTTGTGAGCAGGAAGGAATCTTGGATCTCATTTAGTTTAGCCCTCTCCTTTCATGGTGGAGTGAGTGCTGTACAGAAAGGATAGGGGTCTCCCGAGGACATACCATGCTTGACTGTACTGAGGACTCCTGACCTGTGGAACAGCCTTCCACTGCCCATGGGCTTTGGGGGAGCATGCTGTGTGATCAAAGGCTTTGCTTCTAACCATCTGTTCACGGAATTGTAGGTATGAGAAGATGATCAGCGGCCTGTACATGGGTGAACTCGTCAGGCTCATCTTGCTGAAAATGGCCAAGTCTGGGCTCCTGTTTGGTGGCAAGACATCCTCTGCTCTCCACACCAAGGGCAAGATTGAAACGCGACACGTGGCTGCTATGGAGAAGTAAGCTGTTGCCTTGACTCCACAAAGGGTGAGGTGGGTGGTCATGGCAAGGTATGGTTGTGGTGGTGAAATAGACAGGACCAGGTCTTCCATCTTTGTCATGACAGTTTCAGGCTTGGGCATGGCTCCAGGTGGGTTGGTTGGCAATGTCTGCTGAGACTCAGATGTGTTCTGATTGTTCTCATTGGCCAGGGTTGCTGCTATCAAAGACTAAAGTCCTTGTCTAGCAACATTTTTAGCATGACAGACTCCTTTGGGAATCTGTTTCAAGTTGTTCTAGATGCTTTGCCTCCAAAATGCACATTTGCACAGTTTGGCCTACTATACCAGAGCATCCTTGAACCTATTAAGGCAGTGCATGGAATCCAAGTTTAGATATCCTGTAAGAGCTTTCTCTATCTGGTATTGTTGGGAGTGGCTTTAACTTTGATGATTTAAGGCCACTCACATAGGTCTCTGCAATGAGGAACTGAGTGGTAAAGGCAGCTGACCACAGTCAAGTCAGGGTCATACTCCTAAGGCTTAGAAATCCTGGCATTGCCCTGAGATTCATAATCAGTTTAGATTCTGAGCTCAGCAGACTGGCTTCTGACACTGAGAATCTGTGTTTGTGTGGAGCCTGCGGTGACTGAGTTTCTATGAAAGGCAGTATGGAACAGGCTTGGTTGAGTTCTAGCATCTAGTCGTCAGAGTTCAAATTCTCACCCTTGCTTTGACTAGTTGTGTGACTATGGACAACTTACTTACCTTCTCTGCACCTCATGTCACTCTTCTGTCCTATAGAGATTGTGCTTTGTCCAGAATTGTTGTGACAATTGAGTTAACATTTGTCAAAGCCTTAGTCAAGCTCCTGGCACATAGCGAGTGCTCAATAAATGGTCATTGCTATAAACATTGTCAATATTATTATTATATTTTTCTATGTGTCAGCCTATTTATTTCCACAATCTCAAGAGCTGGGAAAGTTGGTTCTCCAAAGTGGGATGGAGAAGTGTGGGCCTCTCATTTCTGTCTCATGGGCAGGTATAAAGAAGGCCTTGCCAATACAAGAGAAATCCTGACTGATCTGGGCCTGGAATTTTCTGAGGATGACTGCATTGCGGTCCAGCATGTCTGCACCATCGTTTCCTTCCGCTCGGCCAATCTCTGTGCAGCAGCCCTGGCAGCTATCCTGACACGCCTCCGGGAGAACAAGAAGCTGGTTCGACTGCGGACCACTGTGGGTGTGGATGGCACAGTATACAAGATACACCCTCAGTGAGTGCTTGAAGCTGACCCATGTCCCCCACAAACTAGTGTCCCCTGAGACAGAGTTTCAGGGCTGTCTCTGGACTGTGTTACTTCTCTGAGCTGCTGGAACCCACCATCTCCTATTGGTTTTGAGATTACAAGGGGAAGGGTAAATTCAGAGACTATATTCATCTAACTAGCTAGGTTGCTTTGGGGGATCATTCTTAAAGAAATATTCTGCTGAAGTCTATTTCCTGACTTAGAAAGTCATTTATCAAGGATCCATCCATCAATTCACCTATCCATTATTATTGAATACTTATTACATGATAAGATGGGCAAGAAAGATACAGCTAGCGATAGGGAAAATAGGGATAGCATAGGTTGCCAAGTTCACATGAAGGATCCTGTTAGAAAACATGAAAATGGGAATTTCCTAGGAGAAGGAAAAGCAAGCCCTTCTGGCTAACAAAGCTGGTATTGGAAGTCATGGGTACATCCCCTTCTGCATAAGGATGATGTTTAGTCAGTACATTATTTGTGGACCTGCCCTACTGGTTAAAGTATTGGTGATACAACAGCTTCTTTGGGACTCCTGAGTGGGCCTTCCACTGCCCCAGCAGCCCTGGTCCCTCCCTCAAGCCATTCCTTCCCTCCCACCTCCCTCTAGTACTCAAAGGGCTCCCTTCCATGATGACACCTATTTGTTCCTATTGTTAGGCCTGGGCTTGTGTGACTGTTACATATTTTGGCCCCTCCTTCAGATACCCAAAACGCTTGCACAAGGTGGTGAGGAAACTGGTCCCAAACTGTGACGTCCGCTTCCTCCTGTCAGAGAGTGGCAGCACCAAGGGGGCCGCCATGGTGACAGCGGTGGCCTGTCGCCTGCAGGCCCAGCGGAAGCAGATTGACAAGGTGCTGGCTTTGTTCCAGCTGAGCCGTGAACAGCTGATGGGAGTGCGGGACAAGATGCGGGCCGAGTTTGCGTATGGACTGAAGAAGGAAACCCAACCACTGGCCACAGTCAAGATGCTGCCCACCTATGTTTATGGAGTGCCAGATGGCACCGGTAGGTCGGTCATAGCTCCCTTCACTGAAGGCCACCAGAGCGCCCTTAAATCCAAGGACCTCGTTCATGTCTGTGATGGTGGGATGGGGAGTTTGGTAGGCAAGAACTTATGAACTTTCTTGCCTTGGTTGACCCAAGGCATGTGCAGTGAGAGAGAGCTTGTTAGACTTCATGTCTGAGCCTGACTAGTGGTGAACACGATGCTCAGCTCTTGCTGCTGCAAAACAGAAGACCCAGATTCTATCCTAGGGAGCTTCCATCTGAACTCTTGGAGAAGCCTGACTTGTCTTCCTGTGCTGTCTTTTCTAAAACTCTTCTCTTCTGGGACTTGACTGTCAACCTCTCCTCTGTCATGGCTATCTTTCCCTGACTTTTTCAACCTTTGATCCTTCTGTGCTCAGCTGAGAGGAGCCCATAAACAGTATAGTGAATTCTCTAGGCAAATTAGTTTATTTCTTTGAACCTTGGAAGCCTCACCAAAAATAATGACCTTTGTGAAGTGTTTTACATCTTGTAATTTTGCTTTTAAGCCTTTAGTTTCATTTCATCATCACAACCATTTGGTGTGTTCCATAAATGATTTCCATTTTATGGATGCAACAAATGAGACTCAGAGAGGTTAGATGGCACACACTGCTGTACACACAGATAACACAGCTGTACTTGGGTCGCTTAACCACAGAACTAATATCCTTTGAATCTACATGGGAAAAAAACTGAGTGTAGTAAAGACACTGTTCAGTTATACATTCTTTCACCCTTTTGCCTTCATTCCTCAAAGTTTCATTAAGCCCTTTAACCTACTATATGTCAGGCTGTTTTAGACCTGGTAGCACAGCCTGGAGGAAAACGCAGTGGAGCACATGGCCTCTTGGACAGGCAGACAATAAGCAAACATATATGTAGGTAGCAATATAATGCAGGTGCTGTGAAGAAAAACAGAATAAGATGAAGGGTAACAGAGCTCGCTGGAGTAAGTCTTTGGCAAATTCAAACAGCAGTAAGATGACCTCTATAGCTTGAACAGAATGAGTGAGTCAGAGGGCAACAGCAGGAAGTTACGATGAACAAACTAGGATGCTCTGTGACACTGGTGAAGTGAGAGATGTTGCACTGGGGTGGCCCTGAGTGGCATTGGGAGTTGTGCTTGATAGTTTTTCTTTTTTAAAACTACAGAGTTTTTCTTAAAGCTTTATTTATTTATACATACAAGAACTGAGGTGTAAGCCAGAGGTGTGGAGGGTGAGAAGATTCACCAGAGACGGAGTAGGGAACAGAACAGGCAGATGCACTGAAATACACTGCTGAGGGGAGCAGCAAGTGAGGCAGAGAGGGCTGCTGTGCCATGTGGGCCAGCTCCCTGGGCAGCCTAGTACTTGATACATTTTCTTACTAGACAGGTAAAGTATCCAGGGAAGGGGAGACAGGGGACAGGAAGAACCATCCCATGTTCATGATGAACAGTTTCTCTAGAGTGGAAATGCCCTTTAAAGTTCTTTTAGTCAGGGTAGACAGGCCTGGATTCATCCTCAGAGGTTCCTTGCATATAAATTCCACCTGTGGCTTTTACCAGGTACCCTATATCTAGACATAGTCACTTGGGGCTCCCTTGAATGCCAGAATTAGAGCCAGAAGAATGCTCATGACCAGTTTCTTTGCAGGGTGTATAGTAAGTCCTCTTGCTCAAGATAAAAGGCTATTCTCAGAAGTTCAGGCTCCTTGCCTCCAGTTTAGGGTGCTCTGTCTGCTGCCTTGTTGCCGGTAGTTGAGGTGCTGCCCCTTGGCCCTGAGTCCCAGGAGGCAGCATGTGGATCTGCTCTGTCTCTTCCCGCCAAAGCCTCCACACCAGTGCTGCTCTCTGCATGTTGGTTGAGTGTACTTTCTCAATGTCTCCCCTTATTTTCTCCCCCACAGAAAATGGGAAGTTCCTTGCCTTAGACCTGGGGGGAACTAACTTCCGGGTCCTGTTGGTGAAAATCAGAAGCGGACGAAAGTCAGTGAGAATGTACAACAAGATCTTTGCCATCCCTCTAGAGATCATGCAGGGCACTGGTGAGGAGGTAAATGCCAGGCAGGGTTTTCTAAGGGCCAGCCCCCACCCCATATCACTGCCAGTTGGGTCTGACTGCTACCCTCTCCTGCAGCTATTTGACCACATTGTGCAGTGCATTGCTGACTTTCTGGACTACATGGGCCTCAAGGGAGCACAACTGCCTTTGGGCTTCACATTCTCATTCCCCTGCAAACAGACGAGCATTGACAAGGTAAGACACCCACTAGGCTTGCCATCAGGCTGGCAGGCTTTTTTCACCAGGGGATCTCCAAGTATTTGTGACTTACTGCTCATTTACATACTTGCTCAGGCAATTGGAGCCACTTACTTAATTTACATATTATGTTCCATTTTCATTATGATTTTTTTTGACTGAAGTTTACAAAAGAATTTTAGAATTTAGGGTATTATGCAATAAAGGAACACATGCACAGGAGTACCTTAAAGAGAGATCAAAGCACATTACAGAGAGATAGAAAGTGGTAATAAACAAGCCAGCTATAATATTTTGGCAGAAATATTACCTGTCCTTTTGCACAGTCACAGTAAACAGGGACACACAATAGGCTGCAGGGCTTTTAATGTCCAAGAAATGAAAGCTTACCATGTTAGACTTTCAGGAGGCATTTATCATATGGACACTAATTGAGTTGAAATTGAGGAACATCAAAGATAATAATTACAATAAATTATTCATAACACTACCAAAGCTTACACAAGGTCTTCCTTAGAATTCTTGAATAAAAGAACCATTCAGCTCATGGAGAGCAGAACTCTTTTTCTCTAACAGACTCACATCAACTAACCCCCGAGGATTGGTATTAACACAGAACACCACTCATGAGTGACAGGGAGGGCTCTGGTCAGCACAGCAGTTAACTAGAGAACTCATGACAGCAAGAATGGCACCCAGTAGTTCACACACAGTAGGGCCCTCCCTGGTGGCACAGCAGGTTAAAGCACAGCACTACGAAGCTATCTACAGCCACTTCAGCTCGAGTTCAATATCTGGCCAGGGAGGTGATCTATGTGGCGTGGTAGACAGACCTCTCCTGACCTGCCTGCCCACTGCTCCTTTCAGCAGTGTACTTCATCACCTGTACTTCTGGCCTGTACACCAGTTCTGTATGCATAAATGACTAAATCTTTGGAAAAAAATTATGTAAATGTAAACAGAAAAGATCTATAATGATCCTTCCTCAGATTGAAATGATAGGGAGTTAAATGGCACTTTATTGTTATCAGTAATGCTTTAATTAAAAAATGCTTTAATTAAAATGCATTACTGTGTTAATGTTACCATTAAAATTAACGCACAAGGGTGGGGTTGGGGGGGTGGGGAAGCTACATGCTGCTGTCCATGGTACTAAACAATCTATGGGTACCAAGACACAGCAGCTCCATCTGACCCAGGACACGGGGCTTCTGTCTATCCAGGGCACAACTTCTTTCCAGCAATTATGAAGACACAATTAAGGGGTGGGGTGGGGGAGGGTGGAGACCAATGACAGCTGAGAGAAAAGCCACCAATGGCTGGGGAGAGAAGAGCATATTATTATGTAATGGCAAATAATAAGAGATTTTTCAGTTGGGGAGATTGCTTTAATGTTTTACATATACCCACCAGGAAAGGATCAAGAAATCCCAGCTTCCCCTGGGATGTGGAGCGAAGGAGGGTGACGAGGACTGCAGACCTAGGGGGAGGTGGCCTCCAGCCTGCATGGCTGGTGACACTGCCATCAGAGTTGCTGGCAGCCTCTCTGATTTCAGCAGTCTGATCTAGATACTTCCCCTACTCCCACACTCACCTCATCCCTAGCACTAGGCTCTCAGAGCCAGGCTAGATTCATTCCTGCCTCTTGCCAATATTGCTAATATTGTAATGGTGCCTGTCTTTTAAAAATTAAAATTTTCTCCTAAATATAAAAAATTTAAATGCTGATTTTAAGGAAACTAGAAAATACAAATACAACAGGAGAGACCAAAAGGCAGCCATAATCTGTACCCAGAGAGAATCACTACAATCAATGACCCCTTGTATATGCATTGTTCCAAGCTTTTTTTCCAGATGTGGGGATGAGGTGGGGTGGAGAGAGACAGAGACAGAGAAGGAGAGAGGATTTTTTTTTTTAAAGAATGAAAGGAGAATTCGCCATTTGTATTTGTTTAATGTCTCTCACTTAATGGCGACTATTTTCTAACATTCAGTGTTCTCTTACAGCAGTGATTTTTTTCTATGACTAAATTAACATTTCCTGCATTAATGTACAAGACGCTGGATGCATATTGTGGCATTGAGAGCATGCCTCTATTTTTTCACTGTGGAACAGTGCTTTGATGTACATTTTCTATCTTTTTTTTTTTAAATGTTTTTTTTTTTTAAAGATTTATTTATTTATTTGTACAGAACTGGGGTACAGGCCAGAGATGCGGAGGGTGAGAGAATTCACCAGAGACAGAGCGGGGAGCAGAACAGGCAGATTGACGCAGTACACTGCTGAGGGGAGCAGCGGGCGGGTCAGGAGAGGTCTGCCGCGCCATGTGGTCACCTCCAGTGCAGGCGGGAATCGAACTCATGCGGAAGTGGCTTTAGCTTCTTAGTGCAGTGCTTTAACCCGCTGCGCCACCAGGGAGGGCCACATTTTCTATCTTTATCTTTTATCACATCTTAATCTGTCTTGGATAAATCAGTAGTCCGATGACTATGATCCAGGCCTTTCCTATCTCCACTCATGGCAAGTTGACTCTGGGTGAATATGAGTTGCTGCAGTTACTCCACTTGGCAGTAGACCTTGTCTGAGCTTTGTGCTCTGTGATGACTTTGGGCCCAGTGTTAGGGCATAGAGGGAAGCAGTCAAAATCACATGCATTTGACTAGCAGCCAGTTACAGTGTCTTGCATCTCTTTGATGTTGGTTGTTGCTCAAACAGTTTCTTCTCCTTTCTTTCAGGGAATGCTCGTTGGATGGACCAAAGGCTTCAAGGCTACTGATTGTGAAGGGGAAGATGTGGTAGATCTGCTCAGAGAAGCCATCAAGAGGAGAAATGTATGTTGATGTTGGGATTCATGTCAGGGGTTAGGGGGGTATTTTCTCCTGGACCCCTGAGCTCTGCCACCACATGCCCAGTCCCTATGATTCAGTCCCCTTTGGGCAAGTCCCTCCTGAACCTTTTTGGCTCACACAGTCTACTTAGAATAGAGCTGTTTCCTTTACAGGAGTTTGATCTGGACATAGTTGCTCTGGTGAATGACACAGTGGGGACCATGATGACCTGTGGCTATGAAGATCCTAATTGTGAGATTGGCCTGATTGCAGGTAAGTGGTCAAGCATGTCCCACTGGCCTACTCACTTCTGATCCTTTGGAAGTTCTTTTTTAAAATAGATGCTCTGAAGTCAGCTTTCTCTAAGGCAGAGATGAAATTGGATTGGAATTTCAAGTCTTTGATTCCTGAATCTTTTCTAATGGTATTTATCCACTAAGGGTCCTGATCCAAGGTTGTTCTTTCTGTTGAGGAAGGAGAATGACTTAGAGGAAAGGGCTGGGGCTGAGGATGTTAAGATTTTTGCTCTGTTCCAATGTTCTGTTCTCAGCCTCTTCCAGCTGTCAGGTGCATAGGATGGAGAAGACTGCAGAGAAACAAGGGGAGAAGAGGAGAGTGGCCTGAAGTGTCACAAATATTTAAGGGGTGTTTGGGAGAAGTCTGCCAGTGATTATTGGCAAGGGTGGATGGCTGGAAGATGACTTTCTTGGAGGTGAGAGGAAGGAGAATTTGAACCAGTAAATTGGGATGAAGGGCATTCAAAGTGACAAGACGAGGTAGTATTGACAGAATCTGGAGAAATTGTACCATTTGGTTATTTGGACTTCCTGGGAGTGGAATACGGATATGGGCATCCTGAAATGTCCTCAGTGTCAGGTAAGAGGTTACATCTTTCTCAGCTCTTGCCTGCTTTGTGATCTTAAGTAGGTTACTTACTCTCATCTTGAATTTTCTCATCTGTGGACGATATCTAGAAAGGGAAAGAGGTGAGTCTTATTTGATTGGCTCTAATAATTGCCTGGGCTATTGTGCTGAAAATAGTTCTGAGGCCAGGTCAATGGCAAAAAGGGTGGCTTCTAGCTGATGATAACTTGAAAGTTCACTTTCAAGTGTACCTAGAATTTAACAGTAATGAGGAGGAAGAGGAAGAGGATGATATCACAGGCACCATTCAATGAATATTTCCTATGTGGAAGAAACTTAGGACCGCCTTTCATTTCTTTTTTTATAACTAACTTCTAACAGATCTTTATACTGACTCTTTATTTCCTTCTTAAAGATGAAGAAATTGAACCTCTGAAAGATGAGATACTTGTCTAAGGCCATACAGCTATGAATGTAAAGCTGGAATACACACTCATTTGTAACCGACTCTGATTCTAAGTTCCTATCTGCTGCATTCCACTGCCTAAGATTGGTATCACCATTCACAGTCTAAAATCCCTTTATAATTCTTCCCAGGAACAGGCAGCAACTTGTGCTACATGGAAGAGATGAAGAACATTGAGCTGGTGGAAGGGAATGAAGGGAAAATGTGTATTAACACTGAGTGGGGGGGATTCGGAGATAATGGCTGCATAGATGACATCCGGACAGAGTATGACAAGGAGGTGGATGAGGGGTCCTTGAATTCAGGCAAACAGAGGTGAGATGGGTAGGTGTGTACGTCTATGTGTTTTTTACAGTTTATGACTTTACCATATCTAAGGCAGGGTGCCATTTTCATATCATAGACACTACAACCTAATGTATATATTATAACCCTCCATCTGATGTCAGAGAAGTATGTTATTTGAACAAAAGCCAAATATGATGACAGATTTCCAATAAGTAGAAGGATGGAGTCCCTTTTTATGACTACCACAAGGCACTGTAAGGGTGGCTGTAGAAGCAAGACAGAGGCCATTGGTATGTCCATCACTGTGCCAGGTGCTGCAAGGTAGGATGTGGTGACTCACTGAGTTCTCTAGGAACTTTTAGGCTTTTCTGAGGTCCATTTTAGAGGTCAACATCCTTAGCCTCTGAAGACTTGGCTGCCAGGTTGCTCACCTCAAGGTTTTCCTGGAGTAGGGAACTGGCCACTGGTGATGGGTGACGATCCTGGTTTTCAGCTGAGACATCATGTCCCACGTGGGTCACAGTCACTCGTAAGGTTCATTCCAGCTACTACGTACACTGAAGTGTTTTTCACTGGCAGTTGTACATACTTTTCTGAATAGGAGAGAACGGGGATTAGAGAGGGATAGACCTAACATGCTATGACTTGATCACAACCTGGGATCATCCATTAGGGCAGGGGATTGTAAAGTTTTCTGTAAACCACCAGATAGTAAGTGTTGTATTACCTGGCCATATTGTCTTGTCACAATCAAGCTCAGTATCTTAGTATATAAAATGAGATGAGAATATAAATTTATTGTGACAGGTGATATTCAAGTGCGGAAGTTGAGCAGATAGGAAATCTGCTGGGATGCCTGAGCAGGGGCTACCCTGGTAACTGTTGAATTGAGGACACTGCATTGCAAGAGGCTTGGACCAGGCTGTATGTGGCCCTGGTGGCTCCTGGCTTCCCTTGGTACTTGTCTTTGTAGCTGGGAGGCAGGTGTGGGAAGACTAGCTGAACCAGCTGTTGCTCAAAAAAAAAGGGAACTGATCAATGAATTCCAAGCTAGAACATTCAAGTATCAGGGCTCCAAGGGGCAAGTTTCTCCTGACTTAGTTTTGTGTCTGAATCCACTGGAGGCTCACAGTTTTGGAGAGAGAGTTTAAGGGCATAGCACATTCGAATTTGCCTTACAGTCACCATAACATGTTTTAGTGTTAGTTCCTGAGACCAGCGGGGTCCCGAGAACTTAAGAAAACACAAATCCAGTCCCTATGTCTCAGGCACACTCAGCTTTCCAGCTAACTCTGCAGGCAGGGCAGTGACCTCATTGCGGGAACAGATGTCACCTGAGCAGAGTTCCTGGTCTGTGCCTGTCCTGGTCAAAGCCTCTGTCCTCCTACCCCTTCCTCAAGGAACTCACAGACAGGTAGAAAGAGGGGAGGGAGCTAACATTTTTCCATCGCTCCTGGTGTGTGAAAACAGTTTAATGTATTATCTCATGGAGGAAAATCTTGAGTCAAACAAATGTCTTCAATTACAAAGCCAGTGAGAATCTTCAGTAGAACAGAATTATAGTACAGAATAAGGAGAACTGGTTTTGGGGCCAAGAGAAGGACCCACTTTGGCTCTGTTCCTACTGTGCACCAGATACTTGCCTCCCAGCTAGTGTATAGGGCCAGTGCTTCACTCCCTGGATCACAAGCGGCAGCTTACAGGTCGCTCAGGTCAGTGTGGCTCCAGAATTGGCTGTCCCACACCATGCTGTCTTCTGCATTGCAGTTTTGTGGGCCTGCTGCCCACTATAAGCCATCTGAACCAGCTGGTGGGTACCTTCCTTTCAGGAGTCACCAGCACCAATCTTTCCTGCTCTCACCAACAGATACGAGAAGATGACCAGTGGGATGTATCTTGGCGAGATTGTGCGGCAGATCCTGATTGACCTGACTAAGCAGGGTCTTCTCTTCCGTGGGCAGATATCAGAGCGTCTCCGAACAAGGGGAATCTTTGAGACCAAGTTCCTGTCCCAGATTGAGAGGTGATGTGTGATCAAGTTCGCCTGTGTCTGTGTGGATGTGCTGCTGTCGTACCAGGTGCTGCAGATTTGAGGTTTAGAAATTAAAGTATTACAGCCCCTGTCAGGCAGAGGTTGCTTCCTGGGGTGTTCCCTCTGTCCAGCTCCATCAGGATGACAAACTGAAGAGGTACACAGAGCCAGCAGGCCTGCCTGGGCCTTGGGGTTCCTAAGTAATTACACAGGAGTTAGGTTAGGCCGAAAAGTGATCTTCTTTGCTTCCTGAAAAGGTGATGTGTACGTAATATGAAAGAAAAGTTTTGAAAAAAAGTTACTCACATGCTTATTACTAAATATTGCTGGTTTGATTCAACTTTTCAAGCTTTTGAATGTGTGCAAACATATTTTGCTAGCAACTCAAACATATAGCACATGTTCCGTATACTGTTTATTCAGTGTTTGTGGAAATTCCCAATTATAATTCTGGTGGTTACTTGATTTTTATTACTAAAACTTTTAAGTATATACAGAAGTAGTGGGAATAGTAAAATGAATCTAAGGTTTTCATCACCACCCTGATCAACTCATGACTAAAGTGGTTTCCTCTATATGTTCCCTGCTTTTCCTTTCCCCACCCCCAAGCTGAAACAAATACCATGCTTTATATCAATCAGTCTATAAAAATTCCCAAATGTATTTCTTAAATATAAATTCTTAAAAATAAAAACAAAAAACATCACCACAGAACCATCATCACACCTGAAATTGCCAATGATAAACTTCAAGCATGTGAAAAGTCCTGTCCATCTTCTTATTTCTCAGATTGCTTAAAAATAATGGTTTTTTTTTTATTAAAAAGTTTATTTTTACATCATTTTGCACATTTTTTTTTCATCTCAATTGTAATCCCCACGGGTTTCCCATCACCAAATCACCCCTGAAAAATAATGGTTTTTAAATGGATTTGTATCAGTGTCCAAACAAGGTCCATGCTTTGCATTTGGTTGATATTTTCAAATCTCTTTTAACCTATACGTACCCCCAAACTTTCACTGTGTATTTGATGAAGAACAGATCATGCTCAAGATTTCCATATTCCAGATTTTGCTTATGATAGCATTTAACTTTTTCTGCTGACCCTTCAGCTTCCTGCAAATTCAGGGTTAGACCATGATGGATGGTTAGCTTCTCTGCTGAAATTTGAATATTATGTCATTGGCAGCTTTGAGCAGTCTGTCTTTTATGTTAGTGGCCACTGATGCTTATTGCCTAGATCCATGACTTCACTAACTCTTTTAAAACGATGATAATTTATGCTATCTCTCCTGCATTTACTAGTTGGACTACTTCTAAGAAGGAGAAACTCCCCCATATCAACTCTGGTGTAATTGTCACTTTATATGATTGCATAATGTTAATTGTGTCTCTTTACTATAATGTACTAAACTTTCCCTTAGTATAGAATGTCTAATTTGTAATTTACAAATATCTGCAATTCTGACTAGAATACTATTCTATTATATATATAATAACATAATTATTCTTTTTGTACACATAGTCATTTGTTTCTTAGGAATTGTTTCTTTAGTAGAAGCATTCTGTTCAAAGAAACATTTCCCTAGGGACACACTATTTAAAGAAGATTCATTTCCCACAACCCCCAGTTATGTGCAAATGTGTGGGTTATATCGCTTTTCATATTAGCATTGGATGTTATCAGAGGCTTCACGTTTGGAATTCTCTCAATTTTTTTTCATTCAGTAATATTCCTATTATTCTTCATAGGCAGATTCCAGCAAGCAAAAATCACATTGGGGAAAAAAAGAAAATAAAAGTTTCTTTAATGAGGAACCTTAGCCAGACTACTGCCAAGGAGTCCCTGCTTACCAGAGGGGCATGGGTAGAATCAGTTGCAGTATTAGCAGCAGAAATGCTGTGGTTCTGACCTGTTGATATGTGGATGTTGGGTATCCTTTTTAGTCTGGCCTTCGACTCATCAGATCCAAAAATTCAAGTTAAAAGTCATCACCTTTGGTAGTCAGATGTATTCTCTTTTGCTGTAGGGAGAAATAGTTTTTCTCTTGCATGCAATAGCTAAACAGATTAGCTGTCTTTGCCTGCTTTTGTATTGGCCTGAATACCAAGTTACTCCTGGAGAAGTGCAAGTTGTCTGTGCCTCCAGAAATGTTTGCTTTTGTCATGTAAGAGTTGTTTACTTGGGTACTTTGCCTTCTACTGGTTTTTTTCTTTTTAACCCTTCATGGAATAAAAAGATGGTAGCCATATTGTGCTCTTTGGAAGATGTTGTGCTGACTGTGGCCCATTTAAAAGCATTTGTTGAATGCATAGGACAGTGATTCTCAGGGAGAAGAACCCTTACTTTGCAGTTTAAAATTCACCTTTACTATTTAACCTGTTTATGCTGTGTGACCTGAGGCAGGTTGCTTCACCTCTCTGGGCACAAATTTCCTTTATAAGATTAAGTCATTGCTCTGTTGCTTAACCCCAAAGATAACTCTGATAATACACTTGAATATGCTCAACACAGAGATGTCCACATTTTATGTTTTCCAGGTAAAGGGACTTCTTAGAGTGGCAGAACCTTCTGGAGTCTCAACTTCTAAAGCATCCTCTTCTTACCTAGCCATTAGCTAGATCATTTTCTCCTCCTTCCTGCTAGGGAATCTAGGAGTGGGGGGCTGTAAACTGTGTAGAGCATGTGGCAAGGCCTCAGAAAGCAGGTCCTGAATCTTGCTCTTTTGCCTGCAGTGATCGGCTGGCCCTCCTCCAGGTCAGGGGGATCTTGCAGCAGCTCGGCCTGGACAGCACATGCGAGGACAGCATTGTGGTGAAGGAGGTGTGTGGGGCCGTTTCCCGGCGGGCAGCCCAGCTTTGTGGTGCTGGCCTGGCTGCCGTTGTGGAAAAAAGGAGGGAAGACCAGGGGCTTCAGCACCTGAAGATCACTGTAGGCGTGGACGGCACCCTGTACAAGCTGCACCCACAGTGAGTGTCTGACAGGCAGGGTGGGAGGGTGCTGAGGCTGAGTGGGGACTCAGTTGAATCTGACAGAAAAGGTGTGTAGTGCTCTGGTGGCTTCCTAGTGGCATGATGTGGGCAGATCAGGCATCCTCTTGGAACCCCAGCTTCCCTAGCACTGATATCTCCACCTCAGAGAGCTGCGTATGTACGGGTTTGGTGAGTTCGTGATATAACGTGCGTTGCACACCTCTCAATACATATAAGTGATTATTAACATATTTCCACCCAACCTCACAGTGGAGGAATAAGAATTGGAAGTTTTGTACAAGAGAGGGCATTTCTCAAGTATGGTTATAATTTTCTTTCTTTTAAAGATTTATTTATTTATGCATACAGAACTGGGGTACAGGCCAGAGGTGTAGGGACAGTGAGAGGCTTCACCAGAGACAGAGTGTGGAGCAGAACAGGCTGAGTAATGACGTACACTGCTGACAGGAGCAGTGGGCAGGTCAGGAGAGGTCTGCAGCGCCATGTGGACCACCTCTCGGGCCAGGGATCAAAACTTACATTGAAGCAGCTGTGGCCAGCTTGCAGTGCTGCATCCTAACCCGTTGCACCACCAGGGAGGGCCCTGGTTATAATTTTCTTAGCTCAGAATTAGTGGACAGAAGAATTAAGTGCCCTTTTTAGCAACATGAGTTTGAATCCTAGCCCCACCTTAAAAGCTGGGAGGCTGGACTCTCCCTGATGCAACTAGTTAAAGCACCATATTTTGAAGGTCTCTGAAGCCACTGAAGCATGAGTTTGATCCCCGGCCAGGCAGCTGACCCACATGGCGTGGCAGACCTCTTCTGACCCACCTGCTGCTCCCCTCAGCAGTGTACTTTGTCAATCTGCCTATTCTGCTCCCCACTCTGTCTCTGATGAATCCTCTTACCCACCACACCTCCGGCCTGTACCCCAGTTCTGTAAGCATAAATAAATAAATCTTTAAAAAAGAAAAGAAAAGCTGGGCAACTTCTTACCTTCTTTTGACCTCAGTTCTTTATCTGCAAAATGAACATAGCAATTGTATCTACCTTACTGGTTGTTGTGATTAAGCTAAATAGTGCTTACAGAAACATGGGAATCACAAAACAGCAGTGATGCAAACTGTTATTTTCATTTAATGTTGTACATTTTATTGTGGTGAAAAGGAAAAGTATTAACAAGCTTATAAAAATGTCTAGTTGTGCTGAAAGATATACCTGAATAGCATTACTGTCATCCTTGATCCTTTGCCCTCTTATGAATAATTATCCAAAATTACTGATACATGAGCAGGCAAAATGGGAGAAAATATTTGCAAATTATGTATTTGATGAGGGACTTACATCTAGAATCATAAAGAATACTCACAACTCAACAATAAAAAGGCAACTAACCCAATTAACAGATGGAGAAATGATTTCAATAAGTATCTTTCCAAAGAATGTCTACAAATAGTCAATAAACACAGGAAGAAATGCTCAAAGACTGACAATAGCAAGTATTGATAAGGTGGTGGAAATGGAGCCCCCACACACTGCTGGTGGGAAGCAGTTGGGTGAGTCCTCAAAAAGACAAACAGAGTTACCATATGATCCAGATTCCTTTCTTGGGTGTACCCAAGCAAACTGGAAACATGTTCACACAAAAATTTGCTGGTGATGTTCATAGCAGCATGATGGTCAAAAGGAAAAACAACCCAAATGTCCATAACCTGATGAGTGGAAAAACAAAATGTGATACCGCCATGCAAGGGAATATTCCTCATAAAATGGAAGGAAAGTAGTGAACTTTAATGAACCTCAAAAAGCATCATGTTGCGCGAAAGAAGCTGGAAACAAGGTGACATAAATGATTCTATTATGATTAGGCAGCGCTATAGACAGAAAGTAGATCAGTTGTTGGGGGGCTTATAGGGGGGATGCATATGGGGAGTGACTATTAATGAGTATGCAGTTTCTTTCCTTCTGTCTATAAAAATTTATTATTTTTCCCAAAAAAAAAATCTATTCTTTTTAATTGAGGTAATACTAGGATGCCCTTAGCGGTATTGCCACTGTGATGTCCCACCACCAAATCACCTGTAGTCTGTTACCTTCTCTCCCTCTTTTTTCAGGGTGTTCAAAATGTTCTGGGATTCGATAGTAGTGATGGTTGCACACCTTTTTGAACATACTATAAAAAACACTGAATTGTAAAAAATTTAAAATCCTTAGAAAGAGAAAAGACTTGATAGAGCAGTGACTGCCAAGCCATTTCCTCCTTTCTCCCAGGCAGGTTGGTGCTAAACACCCTCCTGTGCCTCCATAAGGCCTCAAGCCCTTTCCTCCCTTGGACTGGTAGAGCCCCAGGGAGCTCCAGTGCTGACCCCTGGCCGTGTTTTGGAGTCAGGTTCAGACCCTGTTCTGCGAGATGACCGCTGGCCACCATTCATGGCAACTCAAGATCAAAGGACCAGAGGTCTAGGCCCCAGGCCTCCGGTAAATGCATTTAGATCCCACAGACTGAGTCCTGTAACCGACTCCCAAGAGGCCCATTCTAATGGATTTAAACCTCAAAAGATAGTTGAGAGAGACCAAGTGTCATAGTAAGATTGTGTTTTCTGGGGGGAAAATTAATGCAGGGAGAGAGGGATGGATGAATGAGTGACAGATAATGCCAATGGGGCAAAATTTCAATTTTGCAAAATGTATATACATACATATATATATATATATATATATATATATATATATACATATATATATATTCACTGCACTAATCATTCCATTTTTTATAAGTTTGGAAATTTCCAAAATAAAAATTTGAGCAAAAAAAAAAAAAGGGAGAACTTTGGGAAGAAAAAAAACAACAACTTGGTTTGAATATTAATAACTTTACTAGGTATGTAAACTTGGACAAATTTCTTAATTTTTGGGTATTTATGTAGTATATATGTAGTGAAAATAACAAAAATAATAATAAATATCATATTATTTTATAATAATAATAAATATTATTATTAAAAATTAATAAAAATTTCAGCTATTATTTGTTAAACTTTGATGATAATCCAGGATAAAGCTCCTAGAATAGTCTCTAGCATTAATAGTTACCCAATAAAAGGGACAATTAAAAACTGTTTAAGAGGTTGTTTAAGAAACTGTTCCAGAACCATGAGAAGCAAATTGGAAGGAACAAGATAGATTGCAATCATTTATTAATATGCCAATCCTGTATGTCAAGGCTGATGATGTTTCTCTTTTTCCTAGCTTCTCTCGGATATTGCAAGAAACTGTGAAAGAATTAGCCCCTCAATGCGATGTGACATTCATGCTGTCAGAAGATGGGAGTGGGAAGGGAGCAGCTCTCATCACTGCTGTAGCCAAGAGGTTGCAGCAGGCACAGAAGGAGAACTAGGAACCCTCAGGGTAGGGCTGGCTGCGCCTTGGGTACTGACCAGCCTTTCCTCTGGTGGCTGAGTTGGTCAGGGACCAACAGGCAGGCTTCTGACTGACTTCACCTTCCTGAAGGTTGAAAGAGAACACCAGGTTCCCTGGTGCTCTTTTCATTCCAAGGGCATGAAATTAAGTCTCTGCTTTTGGCATATTTGCATCAAAAAGGGGCCAACTTGTAAAACCAAAGCATGTGCCCTGAGAAATCACGTTTCAGATGAGACCTGAACTGTCCATTCTATGTGACTTTGGGTTCTGCAGCTGCTGAACTTGAAACATACATATCATTTGCTCATGTGGCCTGACCAGCCGAGCTCCCCACTAGGCTGCTTCAGCCACTTCCATTCCTTGGTACGTTCTGCCAGCTCGCAGTCCTCTCTTAATGGTCCCGATGGTGTTCATTACATTACACCATGGCAGGGTGAGGTGCCATGTTCCCTGCCTGACTTGGGCAGGTGAGTGGCCAGGTGAAGGTACATAACATAGAAGGCAGGTGGGTCCTGGGGAAAAAGAGGGAGAAGGCTCTTGCTTCTGTGGCTCGACTTGCACCCTGATACCACCAGGAAGGCATCTGTACTGATTCAGGGTTATTTGCATGAAGCCAATCTGACCCATCACTCTTCGTTTTAAAAACTTAACAGTTTGCAATTGTTTAGTGATAAATGAAGTGTTTCCCTCAGTACATAAGACTCTCATGTCTTCTCCACACGTCTGAGAGGGAGATATGTGGAGGAGAGACCCGTAGAGACACTTGAGAAAGACATGGGTGAGGGACATGTGGGGATGCTGACAATGGCAGCCATCGTCTTCTCATAGTCTGTCTTTTTATCCCAGCTTTCTGGGACCTGCTTCAGAGCCCCTTTCCTGTGTTTCTCCGCTAAAAGGTGCCTTAGACTCAGCAAACTTTCAGGCCTAATGACCCTGCTGCAGGCCAACCCCATTTGGCTGGGCATTTGCCCATGAAGAGATGGGTAATCTTGGGTGTTTTATTGGGAAACTATTATCCTTTCTTCTATCTCTATGCACAATAATTCTATTAAAGTTCTTTTACAATATGAGTCTGCTTTGCTTTTGTTTACACTGATGGCCCAACCCCTTAAGAGCAGACAAGTTTGGGATTCCTGGGGTACTCCTACCCCTATGCTGCCACTGGAGTCTCTTCCTTTGCACCCTGCCTGGAGAGAGGATCTGGCGAGAGATTCAGGCAGCTGTGCCACCAGTTTCTCCCAGACTTATCCTGCCAGCATGTTGGGCAGGTATAAGAAGGCTCCCCAGCCTCCTTGCTTTCCGACTCTGGTTTCTTAAAAAAAGAAAGAAGCTCCAAGGTATCTAGGCAACATTGCACATTGTGATGAACTCATAGCATCATAGAATCCTTGAACCAGAAGGGAACTGCAGAGAAGGCAGACAGGCATCTTGTCTTTGGACAAGCAAGCCTCTGAAACACCTGGGGCAATGGAAGGCTAACTTCTCAGTGTTCACTGGGCAAGACCAGCACAAGGTAAATTCCTCCTGCAACCACCGAGGCTTTTCCTCTTAGGAAGAGCACGTCCTACCTCTGTGGTTCCCTTCACCCTGGCATGTTATTGCTAGAAAGAACTGATGAATATAGATTAAAAAGTAGATTTCCCCCATGACTCAGTCAATTTAAATAATCAGACAGTACTATAGTCAAGAAAACATTTGAGGATAGGAACCACAATTTGGGTCAACAACCCAGGATGGCACCAAGGTGTGTTACACTAGGGACTAGAATAGGGGAAGTTTCATGGATCAAGCAGGGGAGTGCTGCAAGGCTTAGGTCATTTGTTTGAAATTTGGGCTTGGTTGACAAGAATCTTCAGACAGAATGTTGCACTGTGGAGTCTTTGTAACAATTAGCAGATGGCTTTCCTGTTTCTTTCCTAGGCAATAATGAGACAATAGAGAGTGTTATTTGTAGTCATCGATTAGGAGAAATCAGTGAGAGGGCCCTCCTTCATAGTCACCCCTAGGTTGACTCCAGGTGTTGCATCAGGTGGCAGTCAGCCTGCTTCCTTTTCACTGAGATGTCTTACCATGGCAACTTAGTGACAAGGTGGACTATGTTTGACTCAAAATAGGTTCCACGACTTTGACTCTCCAGAACAAGTGTTCTGTCTTTAGAAATCTTGTTTTCTTCACATTAGCTGGGTGGTGCTCCATGGGCATAAGGACTTGGGCCTCGTCTTCCTGTTGGCCTCAGAACCTGTACCAGTGATTGGCATTGAGTAATCATCGGACAATTCTCAAAATTAATAAATGAATGAATGCTCAAACAACTGTGTGAATGACTTATTGCTTTGCTTTGAATCTCTCCATTCATTTGTCCCACCCAGTGGGACTTAAGTCTTTATACAGTAGATACTATCTAAATGATGGTTCAGTGCATATCAAACCCACCTGCAGACACTTCTAAGACCCAAGAAAATATAAGCTACCATTCCTGCTTTGTAATTCATAGACTGGCAGGGAAGATAAGACATATAAATATGTGAAGTATATTATGATATACAGGGACAAGGTGAAGATGTAACTTCTGACCGTGTCCTGCATCCTCTAGATAAGGAAGTCCCAAACCGTGCATGCAGATTGTAAGCATGGCATCATAGGCCCCTTGGGATAATCATGTGAAACCTCAAAGGCCCTTCTCAGAATCTTTTATTTTTCTCAGAAAATTTTTAAATGCTTAAAATACATAGAATTACTAAGGGCACCAATGATATCAAATTACTGTTATTAAGATATTAAAGTGGCAAATAGATACGTGGATACATACATGGACATGTGGATACATACATGGACATGTGTATACATATAATGCTTATTGATTAATGCATTATATCACACGATCCAGAGGAAACTTAATAAACAACCATAGTTTTGAGATAGTTGCAACAACACAGTATGAAAATGTCTGTAGTTTCTCCTGGAGACAGTCATTGTTTTGCTAACACTGCGTTTGTAATAGAAAGAAATGCTAAATTTCAATTAGATGTGATTTAAAATGGAGTTGAGCTTTTTCCCTGAAGAAGTTTATACATTCTTCTCTTTGGGGAGTCCTCCATAAGGCCCCCTTAAAAACTGGCATTAATTTAAGGACAGCATCTTAGAGGGCCAGAGACAGTGTGGTTTCAACTCAATGAAACGGCATGCTCCGTAACACGGCTGAGCTTTATTTTCCTCATCTGACAAAGGAGAGTAGTATCCAGCGACCAGGTTATGTGAACTACACAGATAAATATGTGAACTTGTGAATAAGCAAGAAGCCACTTGAACATGTGCGAGGTATTGGGTTTTGATTGTTGCATTGTTGCGGGGCCCATTGCACTATGGGTAGATCAACTTGAACCTCAACATTAAGATCCTTTGAAGTCTTGTCCAGACATGTGGATGGCTAATGTGGAGGGGACACATTTTTCACACTTTCCTCCCTTCACCACTATTTTTTTGCTATTCTCTCTCTCACTATTGCACAGTTGAGACTCCTGGTGATTTACATTAAAGGAAGAGGTAACTTGGAAAAATCTGGGTATTAATAGAGGATCTAGTCACTCATTTGGGGCGAACAAGGAGGTATGGTTATGTAGAAGAGCTGGATTCTTTTTCTGGTTTAGTCAAAAAGCTGCGGAGAAAGTGAAATTACTCAAAATCTTCCAGGTTTTTTGAAAATAAATTTTTATTGAAGTAATATTGATTTAGAAAATGATATGTGTCAGGTACAGAACCCTCTAATTTCACATCTGTATACACTTCATCTTGATCACTTAAAGTCTATTTTCTGCCATTCCCTTACAACTAACCCCCTTTATTATTTCATTCACCCCTCTGGTAACCACCCCTCAGGTCTCTGTATCTAAGAGCTTGTTCTCGTTTTGTTTGTTTTTCTTCCAGATGTGAGTGATATCACATATTTGTCTTCCTCTGACTTATTTCACTTGGTATTAGTTCTCTCAGCGTTCATTTGTGTTATCAAAAATACTAAGATTTTTTCTTCTTCCTTTTGCTCCTTTCCTTCTCTTCCTCTTTGTCTTCGACCTCTTCCTCCTCTTTCTGTCTCAAAAGAAAAAGAGATATAAGAAAAATAGATCATGGGCAAGTTAGGGGAACCAAGATATTTTGGGGTTTAGCCTGAAGCTCAGGGATACGCTAAGGGCACGAGAGACAATTCCAGGAGGTGCATTCTCAATGTAGTCTACTGTGGCTCTGCTCCTTTTGAGTCACTCTGTGGTAACTAGTCTGGCTGAGCTGCCTTGCTCAATATTCTAGATTTAACTGAAAGTCCCCCTGTGAGCCTGGGACAGGATCATTTTTTCACAACACATCCTTTGATGCCATTGACACCTATGGATCTGTTTGCTTCTGTTTGTAGCAGTGGTGACTGCAATGGTATTCTACTCCACATACTTCTTTGTATCTAGGTTTTTTGGCTTGGCAGTACATCATGAATATCCAGTGCAATTTATATAATCTTTTGTCTTTTTATAGCTACTTATAAACTCAAATAAAATACTACTCATTAGGTACCCCAGTTCTGATTTTAATGAAAATGAAGTTTGTCTTATAGTGAGCTGTGGAAAGACAGGGAACAGAGTTCAGCACAAAAACAAATCTGATGTGGGGTTGGGATAGACGGGGTAGAGAAAAAAGATTGACATTTCCCAGGGAAACTGACCTAGCATTCAGATCAAATGCAGACTCTTGGGCCGCTCTACATTTCTTCTGACTCCTAAAAACAGGTACTGCTCATACTGTCACTGTCTGGTCCACTCTCCTTGTGTGCTTAATCTGTGTATTTTTGTCCATCGGCTCTTTGAGAGCTTATAGCTTTATTCTGGTCCCTCCTTCCCCCACTCACCCACACCCTTCCCTCCCAGTGCCCGGTCTGTAGAATGCAGTACTTACTGGGTGGAGTTGGGACTCTACCTCTCCTCCTGAAGACAGCTAACACTCTATGGTCGGAGTCTGGACCACAATTATCGTATGGCTAGGTTTCTAAAATGGCCTATAAGATCAGGGATGCTTCTGTGATGTGAACAGGGTGAGCTGTCCTGGAATTCGAGCATGGCTCTGAACTGCTGGCTAGCATCTGGAGTTTTGCACAAAAGAAAATTGAATTGTAGATCAGCTGGGAGGTTATTGTGATAGCCCTGTTGCCCCACGCCTTCAGAGGACTGGAACCCTGTGGGAGCACATAGCTGGCATTTTTTGCTTGAGATGAGGAAGTCTTTTGCTTCCTCTGTAAAGAAGCTCGAATTCAATGGACTGTTGTGGTAGGATGGAGTCTTTTTTTTTTTTTTTTTGGTAAAAATGAAACAGAGGAGGTTTGGCTTAAATTGTTACAAGATGGTGGGCAGATGAGGTCTCCTGTATTTGGTAGAAGGCCAGTTTAGGAGCATGTGGTCACATTTTTGTCTGACAACAAGTACACAGAGAAGCTGTGCTTCCAGTCTCAGAGGAGTGAAATTTTACCTCGATGTGACTCTCCAAAGACCATCTTTCTGAAGTGTCAGAGCCCCATTTCATAGTAAGTTTCTCTTGACGTTTTGTTTTGTTTGATGGTTAGCTCCCGGAACATCATTCAAGAGTTCATAGTCGTCTCCAGAGACCCAACGGCCTTCCCAGGCCTGGGGCCACAGTGACTGCTGGTGGGGTAACCAAGCTCACAGGCAGGTCTCTCTGTATTGTATTTCTTTCCTAACTTCCATCTGGTTTTCTCTGAATTAGCCTGATCACCTCTCTGCCCTCAACACCATGTTGCTAAGATCTTGGGAGAGCATGAAAATACAAGTTCAAAAGAGGGGATAAATTGCTTTTTTTTTTAATTCAGCCACATTTTTTTCCTGAGTTGGATCTTTTGTTAGCATATTCTTTGGAGTAGAACTGGTCCAGTGTTGGCTTCTCTTTCTCCATTCGAAGCCATTGGAGACTGCCCAGTTGCAGGTAGACTGAAAAGGGTGAGTTGGGAGTGAT